CAGTTGTTAACATTCTAAGCAGTTCGGAGAACCGGTTGTTAGAAGAAATTACTGGCCTAATCCTGTAAGGAAAGCAGGAAGGAAACATTCTGGTGTTGCTTATAGAAACTCTCCGTTAACCCTTATTACATTCTTGGCAGGACTAGACTTGTCTGGAACTTCTCTGGAGGTTTTTTCCCCTCCTTTGCTGGTACTTTGCTTGTGTGGAGTGACCATTCAAAGTTACAATGACACTGAAAAAAGTGGCTTATAACCATTTTTCACACTTATGACTGTTGCAGCATCCCCACAGTCATGAGAAGCCAGGCGAGGAGATGCGTGCCTCGATGTGAGTGATGTTGAATTGGCTACGCCCAGCCAGTCACATGACCACCAAGACATGCCCACCAACTAAGCCATGCCCACAGAACCAGTTGTTAAAAAAATTGAATTCCACCCCTGGGTGGTAGCCTAGAAACCAGAAGACTAGGCCTTCTTCTGACTGGTGACTTATTCTCTCTCAATCTAACTCATCTCACAGGAAAGTTGTTGTGGAGAAAATGGGAAGCAAGCAGTAGGTATATTCTCCACCTTGAGTTGATCAGCACCCTCAATATTGACCATGCTGAAAAGGTTGAAGTTCAGAAACATATTGTAGACTGCATGTTTCCCATCCATCCTCTCTTAATTTAAATCTTTTGCATATTATTGAAAATATCTGGGAATAATAAACTGGACAAAAAGAGAACTTTTTTTCTGATGAATTACACAATGGAGACTGTAAACATCACTACACTAACTATACCTTTCTTATACAATTGATAGTGATAATTTAATCCGTTGTATATGAACCAACATGGAATTGACTTTGTATATAACTCAGACATTGACATGATATTTCTGTGCCTAGTTAGGCTACAGGAATGGAGAAGCCACCAACACTTCATTAAATTATGCACAGATGGAATCTAAGATAAGAATGTCTGAGAAAATGCACTACTATATTCATTCAGAGAAGGCCTGAATGATCTGTGTGTGGTCTTTTTATATTGTAATGCCAAGAAAGTTCTCTCATCCTTAGATTTATTAGTGTTGGGCAAATAAACATATTATTATTGTAATAGGGGTGATCAGAGTATGCTATATTTGATTTATTTTATAGTTGCCAGCATATAATTGCACCTATTTCTTCCCATTGATCCTGGTTGTAATTGTTGTCTTTATTTCCCTTTTTATTATTTTAGGTTGTTAGTCATTGACCAAATAAGTAAGTAAGTAAGTAAGTAAGTAAAGCTATCCTAGGAAGGGATAAGTGAATAAACCTAAGCTAAGATGCTAATGACTTGTCAGAATAATGGCGTGAATCCAATTCATTGGGGCCTGTGACTCTAGATTGTTACCTGGGATCGAATATATCCAGATGCAAAATGTCTAATGGGTCAGGAAAGATATATGCATCTTACTGGAGTAAAACATACTAGACAGATGTGTGAGCTGTTCTTGTTTGTGTGCTGATGTTTGTTGTTTGCCTTTGCATATATGAAACTTTGGAGAAAAACTCAGTTGAACAACTCTGGGGTGAAGGATCAAACGTCCATATATTTATTTTTTGAGCCCTTATTCTCATATAAAACTTAGATTTTAAAGCAAAATGTGCAGGGGGGACTTTTATGGAAAGATTGCTAAACCTTGGAAAGAAATGTTAAACAATAAGATAAATTGTCGTGTTTTTTTTTGTTTCTTTAAAACAATAACAGATATATACGGAAATGGAATGCAATTAATTCTTGAATGAACCCAGGTGAAACTGATGTGGACCAGAAATAACACCATCCCTCCCTCCCTGTCTTTAAAATCTTACAAGTCAGGAATCTGGCTGGAGTAATACGTGATTTTGTAGATCATTTAAAAGATTTTTAAAATGGGTTTCTTATAAGCTGAATAGCTGACCGAGATGCCCTTTTGAAAAGGGAATACCCAGTAAAACCACATTCTCACTAAGATTGCCAGGATCAAATTCTTTTTAGAACACTATGCACATATAATTGAAAATAAGATTCCAAGAAAGCAAGATCCCCAGTGGTGGGGTTCAACTTTTTTTACTACCAGTTCTGTGGGCGTGGCTTGGTGGGCGTGGCAGGGGAAGGATACTGTAAAAATCTCCACTCAGAGGTGGTATTTGCCAGTTGTCCGAACTACTCAAAATTTCCACTAACGGTTCTCCAGAACTGGTCAGAACCTGCTGAATAACACCTCTGAAGATCCCCCAATGTACCTTATATATTTTGACAAAGCAGGAAGTTGCTTAAAAGCATATCCCACAAGCTGGACGAGCTTGTACCCTTTCCGGTTCCTTCATATGGATAAAGTCAGCTTTGCCTTATCTGGTGCCTTCCAGGAGTTGGCTTGTGCTGATAGGGATTGGATCAGTTATCCATATATATAACTTTAACATAATATATTATTAAGTCATTATAGTTCATCCACAGCACAGGCAGTTTGGGACAAAATGTCTCCTGATCAGTGTCATTTATGTTGGATTTCCTCCTATGTTTAAATGTCCTTGGGAACACTTCTAAATATGGGGCAGTCCACATCATTTAAAAGTCTAGCCAAATCTCTCGTGTTTAATCCCTTTTTATTCCCCCACCCAAACTAACCTTCTTCAGACACCATAAGTAGTTCCAGCAAATGGTAACTCTGACAATTTCTGGATACTATCCCCTTCCAGGCATCTGATGAGCTAATTTTGCATGCAAGGTTGCTGTTGAAAATGCTACAATCTATTGTAGCATGTTGTAGGATTTTGCAACCTATTGTAGGATTGGCTGATGGCCCTTCCTGAAAGGGGTACCCTGGAACTGTATTTTATTCCCCTGCGGATCAGATAAATATTTATAACTTTCTGAGATATCTTCATATTTAAAACATAGCTGTAATACTGTGTTAAGGAATGTTCCTCTTTTCCTTTTATTGGCCTCTTTCTCTTCCCTCCCCACAAATCCACAAAGCCACAGATGCTTCATTACACTGATGTCAGTTGTGCTACAAGGTCCAGCTGTTTGTAGACGTTGCTAGAAAGTTCAAACCTAGTGTGTTAGACTGTAAATGCACATTGTGTTTATCATCATTGTATTACAGATCCCAGTAAGTGTAATTTTAATGGGGGTTCAGTAAGTTTAAAACCCCCAAGAGCATTTAATCTTCCTCTTAGTGCTCTTTTAATTGCAGTTTCCCCTGTTGTTTCTTTCCCAGAGCCAGTTCAAAGGATTCTGCCTCCCTTACAAATCTTCCCCCACCTTCAGTTTTCTGTGATTTTTGGAAAAAGCAGAGCATTTTCTTAGTAAGACAATATGTATTTTAAGTAAAGACGTCTGAGTGGAAATATGCCTTTGTCCACATCTACACGTCAAGTCCTCATTTAACTTCATGCTTTTCTGCCAAACCACTGACATCGTCTGTTCTGGATTCATTGGTGTTATATGTCATGACATGTTACATGGAACTGATTTAAAGATTAAGACAAAAATAGAGTCCTTTACTACATGGTTAGGGAAATGTCAGGACAGTAGCGTAAAGGAATATTGAACTACATTTCTGAAACATATTATTGTCCACAAGGCCATCTCCTTTTCGATCTGGAGGAGCTTTGGAGGAGCTTTAGATTTCAGATGAAGTGACTCAGCTAATGATATATGCAACTTATCAATGTGTGTGTGGCGGGGGGAGGAGAATCTGTTTCAGCCTATTTATTATATGTAATGAAACCACAGATAGTAAGCTCTGCTATCTTGCCCATTCATAAAGCACACAAAAAGTATTAAAGATGTGTTCCTCCAGATGGAACCCATCACCCAAACTTGTGGATGCATGGAACCCTTTCGGTAATTATGTTTAGTTTGCAATTTACCCACTGCAAATGTGGAAAACATGGATTTGAAACTTGAATAATAAGGATCACCTATTGTGCCAAAAAAACTTATTCCAGAAATATGAAAATGATTATTTTAGAAAGAAGTTTGTGCTTAAACATCCTTGTGGGCCAACACAGAGACTAATAATGCAGTTGTTTGCTTCAGATATATTCTGAAGGATCCCATTCCCTATCCCCTTGCCCTACACCATCCTTACTAAGAGAAGAGGAGGAATGTCTATGGAGTTACTTAGTCATCCAGGTCATGGTTGTTCCAAGGGGCTTTCAAAAAGGTTTTTACCACTTCCAATGTGCTAATCTGAATCTTGAAATATCTAAATCATTATTGTTTTCCAAGGACTATTCTTGTTTGGAATTGCTGGTTATAAGAGGGTTAAAAAAAAACTTGTGGACAGACTCCCCTTTTTTCTACAGTGATGCAGATGGATACAAGAGATTCTCCACCACATCATTCAAAATATTCAAATAAATCATTTTTTTCTACTACAGCCAGGGGTTTCTAATAAGATTTTCTATTCACTATTTTTCTTTCATCTTTTTGGGATTTATTAAAATTGATTTTCTGTGATGCCATTATATGAAGTCATAGCTTTTTGAAAGCATCTATAGGAGAAGAGGAGGAATAAATCCTACTTTGCAAAGCAAAGTTAATTCAAATAACATTGAAGTGAACATAGGCTTGTATATCTGCATATCTGCATCAGGGACTGGTAGGAGCCAATCTTGGCTGGATTGTGCTCAAATTTTAATATGTAGGATGTTAGATGAGAATAAAATTTACTTCATATTTAATTAGTAAGGAGGAAAAAAAGAGATACTCAGGTAAGTAATTGCCTAAGTTGGGTTAAATCAATCCATGTGCCGTATCATGTTACCACAAAGAATTTTATTGTATTATTCTACAAATAATTATCTCATAGGATGATGGAAATCAATATACAGTAATAATCACAGGTGAAGAATGAATATTCCTATGTTTACTTCTCCTTCCAAGTTCTATAGGAACATGGCATTTTGGCCCATGTTTGATTCTTTGTTGGTTTTCTTTTAGTGCTTATTATATTAATTATTGATTCTTTGTCAACAGGTCCTTTGTTATTCAACAAATTCAAAATAGCAATCTCTTCATGGTAGTAGTAAGTAATGAATGTGACTGTGAGTCAGTTTCACCAATTACCATGGAACCAATAGAAATAAGGTATATCCTTTTCATCTACAATTATGTTAATGTCATATGTTTGGATAGAAATATTTAGCAAATGGTTAACTAGCACTTAGTGAAACAATTTGGAATTAGTTAAAAGTTAAATCAAGTGATACTTTAATCCAAACTATTGTTTGTTCAAATACAATGAAAATACATGCTGTTGAGTTCCGAATTTTGGATGTTACTTAATTATGTAAACATAGAATATATCTTCAAGAGAAGTGAAGACATTAGAACATGGAGATGGAAAATTAGATAATCTTTCTCAATAGCAGCATACAGAGCTTTTTTTTAAGGAAATAACTTGCTTTCTTAATTTAACAATGCTTGCTTTATTAATGTCCAGATGACTATGCTAGCATGCCAGAGGCAGAGAACAGGAGTGGATTGGTGGGGTAAAACAACTATTGTCAGATAATCCAAGTGTCAAATGTTGGCCTAGATGGCTTTTTTAATCACTTTGAATGTGACAAAATTCAAGATTTAAGCTATATCTTTAACTTCTGTGAACATAACGAATCCCTAAAATGTGAACGCTTAAAATCTCACAAGATTAGGAGACGTCCAGAATCTTGTCATGGTTTTCATCCTGAGGTAAGTGCTTTATCCTAACAATAAAACTACTGCTTTCTTTCACTGATTACACTTCTCTAATTGCATCCATTTGCATTCTAACTCCATTAGTTTTTCATATCTTATTTTTTCTATTTTTCCATTATCTCATTTTGGTCTGAATGCTATATATTCAGAACTAGACAGTCAAAATTATTTCTTTTGCCTTTGTGTGAACATATGGTGTCTTTTCAAATTCTTGCTGTGTTTACATCTCTGCTTTTATGGTCTGTATGATATTTCTCGGCCCATGGTCTTCATTTGCCAGCTACATCAGTTCTGGTATCCAAAAAGTAATCTACTACTACAATGCATTCTACCATTTTTACCTATGAATATTCCACATGCCCCCCAAAACATGTGTCTGGTACTACATCTCTTTGTCACTTCCTTCCTGCCTCAAATCCACTGGTTTTTTTCCCTGTGAAACATTTCACACTACTCTTTAGTTCTCATGAGCTATCACACAACAAAATTAGCAACTAAATCTAAGCATATAGTATGTATATTGTTAATAAGCTAGATTAAGGTTTTTCTGTAAACTCCACTACTATTTTCCTCAGCTTCTGACTCTACTCCTTTCACTTAGATTCCGATTGTAATAATGATAATTAGCAGACTGCCCATTTTATACATGAATTTGTTCCTTATATCTAATGCACTTAATACTGTTAGAAAACTTGAATATTTCAGAGTAAATCAGAAATATAGGGCAAGTAAGAATAGGTGGGTGGTGAATCAGGGGAAAAAGGAAAACAGGATAGAAAATGTCAACAATAGGAGAATTCTCTTTAGCTACGATTGGACAATTATTGATTGGGCAGCAGAGGTCCAAATGAATGGAAAGCATGACCCACTATCAAAGACCAGTGAGGCATCACCTCTAGCTAAAAGATGAGGTCAGTGCTTCTGCTGCTCCATCTGTACTGATTGCTATAGTTCCATTTTGCAGACATACAAAAGAGGTACTGATGTGGCAAATCCTTAAGGAATGATAAGATTTTTCCTTCAGAGGTTTGAGAAGGAACATGAAGCACACTGGAGAAATGGTTTCCTATTCCCAGCTTCTCACCAGCCTCTGCAATTAAAAAGAAAAGAAAAACTGGGAAATTCAAACCTTAGAAAGTTCCAGATGATATGATTAGACATCAGAGGAATATCATTGGATTCAGTGGTATTTGGGCTATAGGTAATCCATGAAGCTGTATTAAGTCTTTCCCACAGTGCTGTAATTCAAGGTTTGTGTCCTTTGTCTTAAAGAGGCACATACCGGTATTGTACAAGTCTTGATGATATTGTATTATATGTAAGCAATTGATGATTTCTAAAATGTCCTTGTATTTGAATTTTGTATCCGCATCTGTAATATTTCCTCTGACTCCCTCCATTGGTGAATATCTATGGAGATTGTCAGTCATCTATGTCATGGTTGTCCAAAAGGTGCTTTTTCAAAAGGCAACTGGTGGAGGATGCTTGGATTATATTCCTATTGCTAATGACCAGATGAGTGCAAAGGGATATAAATCCTTCCATTCTCCACCATTCAATCAGAACCGAAGAAACTTCTTGGATGAGAAGCAAAACATTTTCTAGGAAAAACAAAGTCCAGTTGCCTTTTGAAAAAGAACCCTTGGATCTTTTGGTGAATATTGCTTTATTTAATGAAATACAATTATTTTTTTCCTTCATCCATATTTATTTTATATCTAGGAGAATGCTAGAGAATGTGGTGGTGTTTCAGGCCTGAGTGCTAAACCTACTCTTCTTGTGCTATCTCTGCTGTGGGTCATTTTCTCAAGGTGACAAAGGCTGATGTACTGTTAAATCTATGGATAAACTGTGAACTGAGAAATGGTGCAACTAGAAGATATGAAATAAGTCAAAACATCAGCATTTCATGATTTTAAACAATGGGATGATAAAAACTCTAAATTATGTAAATAAAAGACATTTATCTTTTTTTTTTTTTTTTTTTGCACATCATGCATATATGGATTTGCCATACAATAATCACCATTCATCAAGAACAGAGCCTCTTCAGTAGATAGAAACAAATGGTCATTACTTTCCGCTTTACCCCATGGAAAACAATTTAAAACACTGTACTTTTTAAATAAAGTATATTAAAATGGAAATGTTTTAGTGGATGATTTATCTGACATGGCCATTAATTGTATTTAACTATAAATAAATATTTTATTTATACTTATTTAAATATTTATGTATTTATTTATGGGATCAGGGAAAGATATTAAGAGAAGAAAACCCTGAGCGTAATCAAATGGGTTTCAACTAGATTTTAATAAAGATAATGTGATTCCATAGCAGAAGAAGCTGATGGGAAAAGAAGTTCATGATGGGAAAGCGTTCCTAAAGAAAGAGATGCTAAAAACATAATTGCAAACAAAATTCCAGTGAGGAGGGCAAAAAATGGGGAATATGTCATCCAGTGATGATACGGGGGGGAAGAGGAAAGGAAATGGTAATGTTAGGCTGAAAGGAGAATTTTAGGCAGGCAGTCCAGAGTTTTAGAAGTGCTGTTTAGAAAGTAAAAGTTCAGAATAAGGCCAGGTGAGTGGATAACAATTTCTAAAAGCTTTAAAAAAAAAATCTAATAAAAGGAAAAGAAAAGGTAGGAAAACACCAATCTATTAGCTCTTCACTGAGGACAGCAAAATGCAAAAAAATAAATGTAGTGAGTATCAGAAGTCAGCATAGACATTTAAAAATTTTTTTGCCACCCCAAATGTATCTCAGTTTTTGATGGAGTGACTCTTTTTATTATATTGTAGGCATGTACTTTTACAAAACTATTGTATCCCTGTGACATTCTGATTAGCAAGGTGGCTGGTTGACATGACAAGTAAATGAATATCAATCTGGTTTTAAAGTTATACTCAAAGGATGCTCATCAATGCTTCCTCATTAGATTGGACAGAGGTATCAAATGAGGTGCCATAAGAATCAGTCTTCAGTTTTCTGCTCTTCAATGTTTCCATTAATGGTTTGAATAAAAAGTTGAAAGGACTGCTCAGATTTCCAAAAATCACAAAAATGGTTGAGATAATAGCTGAAAAGACAAGAATTAAACTTCAAAACAATCATGAAAGGAACAGAATGAAATATAATAGAAAAAATGCAAAATTATTACTTATGAACCAAAAATCAGATGAACATATATATAGGGTGCTTGACTTAGTAACAATGGTTGCCAAAAACCAAAACAAACAAAAAAGAGATCAGTGTGGTATGGCTGCATAGAAAACAAATGCAAGTTTAGAGAGCATTAACAATTGTACAATTTCTAAATCTTGGAAAATAATTATTCAGAGAAACAGGTTGAGATAAAGTCAATGAAGACAATCAAGAGACCAGAAATTAAGTCTAATGAAGAGTGACTGAACCAGCTACATTAATTATATGATAATACTTTTCCAATATTTACTAGGAACTGCTCTTTCTTGTTTCAGAAGGCAAGACCCAAAATAACAGAAGTTACAAATTAATGACGGGCAGATAGAAAAAGTTAGATTCTTGGGATAGCAACATCTCTAGGTGTACATGTATTGTTCCTCTCCAAACTGGTAATTTGTATTGTTAAAGTACAAATGAAGTGAATTTTTTTGTTTTTATATTTATAATATGCAGTCTTAGTTCAACAAAACTTGGTATACAAGTTTTGGGTAGTTTTTTTGTGGCTTAAACCGTTCCTCTCTTACCTTACAGTACATGGATGCTATCCTCAATCACTGTTTTATGATGTTAACTCTTCCTTTAGGCACATTAGCAATACTTTCATCTTCTCCTCTTACCTTACAGAAATGGAAGGAGAAATTTCCCTTTTTCTGAACCTCATGGGAAGACATCACTTTGGTCATGTTTTCCTCTTCTGTCTTCTCCAGTTTAGGCCCAGTCCTTCCACCACGGAGTGTGCTCTGGAGATCTTTCTTTCTGATTCTGCTTGTTCCTGCTGAGTTCCTCGGTTATTTTTCCTCCTTTTTCCAGTGATCCTCTCCCCCTCTGTCTTGTCTGCTTTCCACCAATGATTTAAGTCCTCACTCCTTGATATATATAGCACTCCAGGTCACCCAGAAATATGCAGCAAAAACACAACTTTGCTTGACAAATCTGTTCCATATAAATGTTCAGTAGGAGACAGATGTTCATGCTCAAAGATGTCTTAATTAATTAAGAACCTTCTAGCTAAGTACATCACTCTTTTCATGAAAAATGCAAACAGACAAAAATCGTAACCTTGAAATCAATTATGTTCCGGGTCCAAGTACAGCAATTCAAACACTCCCAACATTATGATTCTGCAACGTCTGCTAAATTCTTCACATAGGTAAGACAATAGCTACTATAGATGTAAGCGCTCTAAATATGTCACATTGCTTATGGCCTCTGTCTTCTATTTCCTTATATCCTGAACTAAGATAACCTTCCACTATGTCTCGTTTCAGTTTCCAGGAGTTACGTTCTTTCTTTTTATTTTCAGACTTGTACAGAGTAGCCCAAATGTCTTTTGCAGCTGTCTCCACACACATATTCACATACATGCATGTATACACGTTCAAACATCTTCCAATGACCAACTCTGATTTATCATTATCAAAACAAGAATGAAAATAAATAGTAACATATGCAAAACAACAACTTCCCCAAACTTCTATATGCCAACGAAACTCTGTGCACTTTACTTTATGGATTTTCACTGTTCCTCAAAACATTGTAAATCAAAGCATCTTATTCTCAGAACAGGGTTGTGCTATTTTGATAGCAATGGAATGGGTAAAAACATTAAATGTCCAAGCAATAAAGCTGATTTGCTTTATTCTCACTTTCAGCATTTTGACATTTTCTTGTAATTTTGGAGGAGGAGGCAATGATAAAGAAGGGAATGGTGAAGAAAACGCCACCCCACTCCAGTATTCTTCCCCAAAAGCAACAATGTGTATTCACAACATTGGCATGATACTGAAAGAGGACCCCTTAAGCTACTGAAAAGAGCAAAGAGCCAGTATGAGAGCAGTGGCCAGAAGCAAAAGGAAAGTTTGATACTGTAACGTTACCCATACTGCTGGTACATGGGAAGCCAGAATCAGGAACCAAGGCAAAATCAACTGAAGTTGAGGTGACCGGAGAGTACTACTGCAAAAGAATACAAGGGAAGGGAGCTACACTTGCCATTTGGGGAATAAATCTTAAGAAAGCAGGGTCCTGAATGTTATCTTAAGAACTTTGCTGAATGCATGAGATTATCAAGATAAAATAAGTAGCACTGGTATGCATGCTCCATTGTTTGCTGGTTCTCAAAATGTTCATTTGAAATTTGGAAAAGAGGTTACATTTCAGAGGATAAGAGCATTTTTGCCCCATACTTCCCCTCATGAGAGAAAGCTAGAGTTATAAAGTCTTAGAAGGGATATTTCAGGTCATCTATTCAAATAATCTTCTCATTGCAGAACCAACTAGAAGATTTCTGATGGATAATCATCTTCTGCCTGATGACCATTAGGAAAGGAGAAGGGCTATATCAGGGGCTGCCACAAAGAAGTCAAGCTATTTTCCAAAGCACCTGAGGGTAGAACAAGAAGCAATGGGTGGAAACTGATCAAGGAGAGAACTAAGAAGAAATTCCTGACAGTTAGAACAATTAATCAGTGGAACAACTTGCCTCCAGAAATTGTAAATACTCCAACACTGGAAGTTTTTAAGAAGAGATAGGACAACCATTTGTCCAAAATGTCATAAGATTTCCTGCCTAAGCAGGGGTTTGGACTAGAAGACCTCCAAGTTCCCTTCCAATTCTGTTATTCTATTCTACTTTAACTCACCATTACCTTTGGCAGCTGGCTGGCTGTTCATATAGTCAGATGTCACTCCTCAGCTCTAGACAAATCTACTAATAGAGTTTAATAATAACAGACAATAAGCTCATTCCTTCTTCTGTATGATGACCTTTCAGTTTTTTGAAGATATGCTATAATATTTCCTTTCAGTCTTCTCCAGGCTAGCCATATCCAGATCCTTGAATCATTCTCCTCAGGGAGTTGCTTCTGGATCCTTTACTACTTTTCTAGCCCTCTCCAGAAGGTGCCTCAATTTGTCACTATCTTTTCTGAACTCTGGTGTCCAGATCTGATCAGGAGCAGAGTGGAATAGTTGCTACCAAAAATATGGCTTCAACGTTTCTGTTAGGAGAGCCTTTGTTTTTCAGCAGCTACATCACCCTGCTGGCCCTTGATTGTTTTATGGCTGACAAGGGCATCCAGACTTCTTTCCCATGTACTGCCAAGCTGGATGTCCCCCATCTTATACTTCTACCTCACATTTTTCTTAGCCAGATACAGAACTTCAAATTCCTCTCTGTTAAAATTCCATTCCATTCATTTTAGCCAGCTCCTAAACAAAGAAATTGTTGAGTAACTGTCTAGAATTGTCCCGACTGATATCAAATTATGAGAGATTCAAAAAGCCAAGATTATGGTCCCAGTTGATCCATTTGCATTGGAAGGAATACTGAAATATAATGCCCAGTTCTCAATCATTGTAAACCTAAGAAAAGCCCATATTGATTTGCATGTGCACGTGCATGTGCTTTTAAAAAGATGTTGGTGTCTGTGAAATTCTCTTGCTAAAGTATGATGATGAAGTGCTATTAACAAATTACAATGAAATGTGGCATGCATATGTGAATTGACAATGAAAGACATTTAAATTCTTAATCAGATGTAGATGGAGATAAGTGGAGATGGAAACAAGAAGCATTTTTCAGCAAAATGACAGACAGTATTTTAATACATTAAAATCATTGAGAGAATACAGATCATCACAAAAAAGAATCATATAAAGCAAAAAGCTAAAGGCAGCATTTAAATTCATATAACAGTGCCATAAAAG